TACGCGAGAAATAAACTAGAGTGCGAGGACGTAAACCGGGAGAGTAAACCGGGAGAATTTAACCGAAGGATGAGTGATTAATAGACCTTCTTTCCTCTAGATTTTCGGGGTTAATAAGCCAAGGCTCTTGGATAAGGATGAGGCTTATTTTTAGTTCTATTGCGAGTTCTAGAACCGCTTCAGTAACGTACGGGTTCTTATTAACGTTTACTTGCAGTACCCGTAAATCTATTATAGAGGAGAAAGTTACTGGGGCGTAGGTTCGTGGTTTTTATACCGCGTTCCTTGTTTTGCTTTACACCCCGTAACGTTGCATAGGTGCTGTTCCGTTCTATACGTTCGTTTTTAGTAGATTTCGCACTGTAGTCTTCTTGTGTACCGTGTAGTCTTATGTCCCGTTTTATTATAGTTCCTGTAAAGTTAGTCCTTTAGAGTGGTTAGGAGGTTTTCTACTTTATAGCTAACTCCTATAATATATAGACGTTGAGAAATAGCCTGTCTCCTTTCTTTCTCAGTACGGAATGCAATTGTAATTGATCCTGCGGCCTAGGTTTCTCTCTTCATTTTTGAAGAGAGCTAGTATGGTTTCCTAATTACTTGAAGGCCGTTGGAAAAGGTAGATATCTCTGTCTTTATAAAGTCGGAGATGTCTATGTCGTTGAGTTCCTAGGTAGGAACTCCGTGTACTACGACTTTATACTAGGATTCGTTAGTTTGAGCTTGGCAGTCCGGGAAGACTTTCCGGATAATAGCTATCTTGTCGAGTAGAAAGGTAGCTGGGAATCCTTGGTTACCTGTAACAACAATGTTATTATTCTGGGAGAGGCGGACGCCTGAGATAATCGTTTTTCCTCGGTATCCTGCGTTTTTAAAGGCTTTATTAAGCTTTATTCTTGCCGCTAGCGGTCCGAAGGATTTATCAAGGCCCCTATTAGGAAAGAAGATTTGATGTTCTCGAGGCGAGGGCTTAGGGGCGGGGGGAGAGGTTTAAGTAGGTTTTCTCTTAATAGAGACGGGGGTAAATCTATCGGGGATTAGGCTACTGTTTTGAGCGGTAACTGTTGCGTAGCTTTGGGGAGCTCCTTTCCTTTGTAGGGGTTTAGACAGGGATTCTTGTGGTAGGATATAAGGTATGGTGAGTTTCCGGACGCTTATATTAAGCGTGCGAGAAGTGTTTTCTAAGGCTTTAACCTGGGTTGCGAGGATTAACTTTGAGTAGTCGATTTTTCCTGTATTCGTGAATTCTCTAAAAATTGAGAGAAGATCGAGAATTTTCTCTATTCGGTCTTTTGTTTGTTCGGCGTTAGCTGCTTTTAGAAGGTAGTTAAGAGAGGCTTCTAGCTATTCGTTTGCGGTTTCGGGGTTTTCCTGAGTGGTAGGAAATCTTAGTCTTTTAGAGAAAGATTCTTGTGGCGGTAAGAAGGTGAAGGCATTTTCCCGGGAGCGTTTCCCTTGGCTCTAGGTTGGGATAAGAAGTGGAGAAGATCTTGTTGGTTGCGGAGTTTCTTCTATGTCTGTATCCTCTTGGGAGGAGATTGTAATTGGGATTGATTGTTCCTGGGGTGTTTGGGGGGTCCTGGTGGGCGTTTCGATTGGGCTGCCTAGGGTGATGGTGGGCCTTCTAGGCAGGGGAGTTTTGCCCTGGATGTCTGGAGGGCGATTCTCTATGTTCTCTAGGTAGCTACCTGGTTTTCCGGGTAGCTGGGAGGTGGGGGAGCCTTCGGATATCGGTTTTGAGGATGGGGTCAGTGCGGTCTTGGCAAGGAAAACCGAAAATTTTGCTCGCTGGAAAAGCCGGCAGTCGGATTTGAACCTAGGGTTTCTACGACAACTAAGGCCTGCGGCCTAGTGTAAGAGAAGTAGAAAAGTGTCTAGGCTGCGCTGAGTCTAATAGTAGTAGTCTTACGGCTTAGGAAGCGCTGCTGGGGCGGTTCCGTTTGTGAAGGCGGAGGAAAGTTCGTATTTAATTGATTGATTGATTGATTGATTGATTCGTTTAACGTCTATATGTAGTCTGAGACTATGACGGACGGTTCTATCTAAAGAACTAACTAGGGGGTGTAGAGTCAAGATAAAAGTAAGGTTATGCAAGGAATGGTTGGATCTAAGCCGGTGTATAATACGAAGGAAAGAAATAGGTGTTGAGAAGTAGTATTGGGTAAAGGAGTGGGTATCTTTTATAGAGTAAAAACCCTAGGGGAAAACCTCTATAAAAGATAGGGAAAAGAGGTAGAGGCTAGGGGAGGAGTAAAGAGAGAGAGTCTAGGGATAGGCTCGAAGAGGCTCGACTCGGAGAGAGAGCCCGGCAATAAAGAGTCTATTTTTAATAGCTCTGTTTGCCTCTGATACGGTGGAAAAGGCTAGGCAGATTGAGCT